GTGATGTGTGGGGAGCACGGCCCGGGAGGGGAGCACAGGCCGGGTTTCGCAGCTCTCACCATCCCCTGTTCCTCAGTATAACGTGCAGCCGGGCCCGGGGCCGTTGCCCGCCGCCCGCGGGCAGCAGTTGCCCAAGGACTACATGGTGGAGTCGGTGCTGGTGACCCTCTTCTGCTGCCTGCTGACCGGGGTCATGGCCCTCGTCTACTCGTACGAGGTAAGGAAGGACTCCCCTGGCAGCCCCGAAGCCTCTCCTGGTGCTGCGGGTCCCCTCTAACCCCTCCCTTGTCCCCCTGCCAGACCCGGGCAGCGCTCGCCCGCGGGGACGTGGCCCAGGCGTACGTGGCATCCAGAAAGGCCCAGTCACTGGTCCTCGTCAGCCTCCTCTTCGGGTTGTTCGCCTCCATCACCTGGATCATCTACGTCCTGGTGTCCCTGTACCTGTGACAAGGACTCTGAGCCCTAGGGACGTGGCGTGTGCCAAGAACTTGTAGCTCGCCACCTTGGGAGGGGGGGCATGGGCAGGTAAAGTTGCCACAGCCTTGGTGGAAACGGGTGACAGGAAGAGTTATTGGGGCTGCGGGGCAGCGTCCGTCCCTCCTGGCGGGGCCGGGAGCTGCCCCGGAGCCTTCAGCCATCGGCTCAGCCCTGTGAGCCCCGGGCAGGGCAGGAGGAGCCCGGAGCAGCGAGATGCCGGTGCTGGATCCAGCTCTGGGCAGGGAGCTGGGCGGGATCCATGGGCGGGATCAGCTCTGCCGCAGGATGCTGAATCCCATTGCTGTGGGCTCTCACTTGGAGCTGCCAATGGGACTCTGGTGCAGAGGGAGCATCTTGTGGGATTGGGGGTGGAGATGGAGTAGAAGGAACAGGTGTGTGGGAAGCCCTCAGTGGTCATTAATAGTGTGAGAAGATACAAACCCACGTCTGCAGTTCTCCAGTAATTCTGCACACACACACTGTATTGCCACCTTCTTGCTGCTTCCAGATTGAAATAAAACACAGCTGTACCCAAAGCTTGTTTTCTCTGCAGACCAAGGGCCTACACCTCCCCTTGCCATGGCCTTTACCCACCACAAAATTCAGGGTAAGTTCTCCTGCAACAGCTGAAATCAGGGTTTTCCCAAGATCAGGTGGGCACCGGGGTTCCAGCCCATGCAGGACCCCAGGGAAGGGGAATCTCCACGTGGCCCTGGGTCTGGGGGTGCCCCTGGCTGAGCTGCCTATGGGGACACCGAGCTGTGGACAGACCCCTCCTGCTGTGCCAGGCCTGTGGGATGCAGCCCCACATTCCAGCCCTGGCACAGGGGGCACGTGCTCAGTCAGTGTCTGGGCACTCTCCTCATGAGCTGGCCCGTGACAATTATTTCCAGAGGAATTTTGAACCGTGTCCAGGACTGAAATAGCTCCGTGGAGCAGCTTGGCCACTGCAGGGGTTATTTATAGCCCTTGGCTGCCGGCACACGGCCACTGCACGGGCTGGGCACACGCCGGGGGCTGGGCAGCCAAAACCCCTGACACGGGGGACACTGGTGCCCAGAGAAGGTGACAGGAACAGATTTCCCCTCCCAAGTGTATGGCTTGTATTGGGGCAAAGCCATCTTGGCAGATGGGAAGAAATTTATATTAAAAAGGGGAAAAAGAGGCACAGGCAGAGGAAAACCACGGGGGGCACATGAGAAAACACGAGGCCACACCAGCGCCAGAGGCGGATTCGATTGTCACTTTAATCCACAGACTGTGCATGCACTGTAAACAGGATCATCAGGCAGGTTCGTTATTGGTGTTTTATTTATCTTTAATATAAAAGTTACAGGTCTGAAATGTTCGCAGGAAGATGCCGCCATGGGGGTTAGTGGTAAATCTATAATACAACGGAACTGCTTGGGGGCAGGGGGCTGGTGACTGGGGACATGGCTTCTCCCCACTCCCTGCCCCTCTGGAGAGGGGACTCAGGCTCTTCCCTCTCCCCAAAAAGAGGTGATGGCCTTGAGGATGCTGCCTGCAAGATGGGAACACACTCATGGCCAGTCTTGCACAAAGGTGTTCTGGGTTTCTGCTCTCCAGGGACTGCTCCTGGAGAGGGGGGGGTCTCTGGTCAGCAAACCTGAAGCTGCTCCAGGCAAGGGGACCCTCCTCTAGGGTCCCTCCAGCCCTGTGAGCCAGGAGCTGTGCCTGGGACACTGCTCAGCTGGGTATGACAGCAGAGTCAAGGGTGAAGGGGGAGGAAAGCTGGGGGGCCCCATCCCACTGGACGAGGTGCTGTGGCCACTCAGACCTCCCATCCCCACACCACGGGCTGAGCCTCAGGCTCTGGGGGGCTGGCAGAGGGCAGAGAGTGAGACCTCCTTTGGTGCTAACTGGGCTCGTGGGTTCAAGTGCAGGGAAGAACCTGGAAATGGTTCCCAATGGTGAGGATCACAGAAACACAGAATATGCTACTTGAGAGGGACCCATCAGGGTCACCGAGTCCAACTCCTGGCCCTGCACAGGACAACCCAAAAATCCCACCATGTGACAGCAGTGTTCAAATACTTCTTGACCTCAGACAGGCTTGGTGCTGTGACCACTGCCCTGGGGAGCCTGTTCACAGTGCCCCACCACCCTCTGGGGGAAGAACTTTTTCCTGATTTCCAACCTAAACCTCTTCTGACGCAGCTCCAGCCCTTCCCTGGGTCCTGTCACTGGTCACAAGTGAAGAGATCTGCACTTGCCCCTCTGCTGCCCCTCGTGAGGCCTCCTTTGGACACCCTCTAATAGCTTAATACCTTTTTATATCGTGGTGTCCACATTTAGTGTTGTCAGCAAAGTTCCTCAGCATCCCTTCCAGTCCTGCGTCCAGGTTGTTAATGAAGATGTTGAAGAGCACAGGGCCAAGGGTGGGGCCCTGTGGAACCCCAGTCACTGCCATTTTCGGGGTGTCCTGTGTGCCCAACCCATGAGCCACTTGCTCACCCCTCACCTAACATGGTCACTCAGCTGGATGAAGACAAGCTGCCCCCTCCTGTCCCTCTGAACCCCCAGGGCTGTGACTCCAGAGCTATCACCACACACAGCCCTCCCAGCACAGCCACTGCACCCAAGGGCTGCTAAGAGCCACCAGGGTGAAGCCCACACCACATCCTGGGTGTATTCATCGCCCTTTTCACCACCTCACTATGCTGGGCTTTTAAAAGATCTTATTTACAAAGAAAACATGGACATTACTTCCTGGGGAGCCTTTGGGGATTGCAAAGCCTTGGCTGGACAGAAGACACAGCTCCAGTGCCCTCAGTGCCATGAAAATAAATCACTTTCGAAGTGTTCTGACTCAGACACCATGGTTCAGCACAAAAGATTCCTGCTCCTCCTGCTCTGGGGCTGCACACAACTGTGTTGGATCTGACACTGCCCTCCCCCAGAAGATGCCCTCGTGGGCAGGGGGTCTTCTCTGTGTGTGAGTCTCATGCCTGGGTCTTCAGGAAAAAAACTAAGCTGGGTAAAACCCCGGGCTGTCACTCCCTCCTGAGAGTCAGGCAGAGCTGGCCAAGGCTTTGCAATCTGTTTGGAGAAGGAAAGGAATGCAGCTCTGATTCACCCAGAACAAACAGAGGCTTTAGCAAGCACAGAGCTGCTATTGAGAAATAAGTTAAGGATGCTCTGTGAAACTCCACGTGTGTATTCCTTGGGACCTGCTGCCCTAAACCTGCAGGATTTTGTCAGTATCCTGTAAAAACCTGTGACCAGGTGAGAGGGAGTTGAGGAGGGCCTTGCAAGGCTGCTGAAACCTGCAGGGCACACTCACACCCACGATCCAGCTGCAAATCACTGGAGCAGGACACAGAACAGGGATGTGAAAGGGCCTGGCTGGGGCTGTGCTGGGTGGGACACAGAGGGGGGACAGAGAGGCTGAATAAGGCACACTGAACAGATTGGGGTTAACACTGTGTGTGTGTGAAATGACACCCCTGCCTCGCCCTTCCATGCTGGGCAGTGCCTGCAGCATGGAGGGACCGGGGACAGGGACCTGCTGGGGGTCCCGCCAAACACGGCTCTCAAAGCACAGCATTGGGGGTCCCAACAGAGACCCCTGGAGAAAAACATTTGGCAACAGAGAGAGGAGTGGGTGGGAGGGCAGGGTGGCTCAGCTGGGCACAGGGCTCCTTTCCTGGTTCCCACTTCCAACCCAGAAATGGCTCCTTCACGAGGCTCCTGCCCCTGCTCTGCAGCCAGTGCCCACCTGGCCACCCTGAGCCTCCTTTATCCAGCACTTGGAACAACATTGTCACTGGTTGTGGATTTTATACAGACTGGTTTGCACTATTTTTTTTTTTTTCCCTATAAACTCATCGGTATTCAGACATGCATCAAAAATCCCCAGGGGGTTCTAAACACTAGGTATGTACAGTCTGTATCCTACAGCATTTCCTGTGCAAAAGCTAAGTACCATCGCTAAGAGACACGGGGTCACAGGCAGGTGACCCCCAGTACCTGGGCAGTCCATGGTTCCAGGTTCAGAGGGATTTACTGTTGCTTAAATAACGAGATCTGAGAGGAGGAGGGGGGTGTGATGGCTGGAGATGGCGGGTCCCTGCCCACATTTTCAGTGCCTCTTCCTACGACCGGTGCCTTCCTCCCATGAAGAAGGCGCCAGAGATCTGGGGTGAGCCGAGACCCCTGTAAACACAAGCAGCTCTCTGAAAGCAGAGCTCCTCTGGCAGGCAGCAGAAACGCTTCCATCCTCACAAACACGTTGGGAAGGTGGCATTGCAGGGGAGACTCCAACCCTTGTCTTCCACGGCTGCTGCTGCTGCCCGACGCCGCTCCGGAGATGAGTCCGGGGGTGCTGAGCTCCTGCTGCCCCTGCTCTGCGGATGGAAACAAGAGCCAGGGCACACCTGGATGCAAGGGGCCAGCAAACCAGCGACACGCTTGCGTGGGACACTCCTTCCACACAGCTCTGTCCCCGGGGTTGAAGCTGGTTGATGGCACGGAGGGACGGGAGGAGGAGGAGGGCGAGTGCAGCGAGCACCGGCCGATCTCTGCCCTCGGTGGCTGCGCCGGCGCGGCATTGCCACCCCCAGGACTGGCTGCCAGCCGGGAGGGAGGGTGTGTGACACCCTGTGTGACAGGTACAAACATTGAACTCCAGTCTCATAGCTGCCCTCGGCGCCTCTGCGGAGCGATTCTCCTCGCACGACCCCTCCTCCTAGGTTTTCTCTTCCCGATCTGTTTTCCGCCTCGTGATGTTCCGAGGTTTGATTTTCAGGGACAGTTCCCACAGGGCCTCCTCAGCCAGGTGGTCGCTGAAGTCGTTGAAGAATGACACTATGTCGTCGTTCCTTTTGATGTCGTAATGTCTGGAAAAGCAGAGAGGAGCTGCAGTTAAACAAGGGCTACCTGGGGTCCTCTCCTGGCTTTGGGCCACCCTGTCCTGCTCTGAGGCCATCCAGCACTGCGTGGGGCAGTGCTCAGTGCGGTGTGGGGACACACCACAAAGGGGAAAAACCCATCACTGAATTAAGGGGAAAAAGGAACTTATCACACAGAAATCAGCAGCTAGATCTGCTGCCTCTGCTGCAAGACAGCACTGAAAAAAACCCTGAATATCCCAGAGAACACAGGAACCAGCAACGGCAAAACCTGAAGGCAAAACTTGTCTGCATCTCAAAACTAGTATCAGAAAAATGTCCTCACAATGTTTACCTAACCTAGAGACTGATTAGAGCCCTGTTGTTCCCAGCTTTCCTTCCATCTCCCTTCTCCTTGTAGAGGGCCTTCCATGTCCAAGCCCCTGCCCCAATCCCCCCCTCTGAGCCCCACTGCTGCACTTACACTTGCTGGAAGCACCTCATGCTGTCCAGGATGTTAAACTGCTGCCAGCGCTTGGAAAAGTTCACTTTGCTGTCAATGTAATCAGGGTTTCCCAGATGGACAAAGGTCAGGTCCTGCAGAATCAGGCCTCTGAAAGAGGGAAAGGGGCAGCAGGCCAAGGGATAGGCAAACAGAGACAGAGGTTAGTCACACAGGCAGGGTGGCCAGTCAAAAGGCAGCCAAACAAAATCCAACAGCCTCCCACTGCCACCAGAATGGCAACCTTATCCAGAGGGAAACATTCCCCAGCAGCAAATCCAAAGGTGTTCAGATGCAAACACCCCCAGCTGGCCACCCTGCCCCAGACAAATTGCTCCAGATCCACATCCCGTGGGCTGATTGGCACAGTGCTGCCTTACCCCAGATGCTGGGCTAAAGGCAAGGGCTGGGCTCAGCAGCAGCAGCTGAGAAATCCTGGAAGGAGCCATTTTAACGTGCAGAGGAAGGAACTGGGCACTCACAGGTAGGGGATGCAGGGGGGCTCCACGTCAGCCAGGGCTGCTCGGTAGGCACGGAAGGACGAGGAGCTGTCGATCAGGGTGCAGTACTCAGCCAGGCCCTGCAGGACACAAATCCCCTGTGACACCCCTGCTGCAAAGCCAGCTTCTTTGTCACCTCCCCCCGAGAGCCACACAGAGCAGGGAGTTAATGCCATCCTGCAAACACCTCCAGCCCGACCCTTCAGCCTTGCCGAGCCTTGGGCTGCAGGAGCAGAAGGAGGAGGAGGAGGAAGAGGCAGTTCTCCCCTGTGACTGTGCTGGCACTCCTGCAGCTGTCAGAATGCCCAGCCACACTGAAGGCTTCCAGCACTGTGGCATTTTACCCACTGGGGAGGAATTATCCACCATCCCTGCACCCTGGGACACTGCTGAGATGTAAAACCACTCAGCTGTTTCATACACAACCACACTTATCCTTCCCCAAAGATCAGAGGCCCCACTGCTCCTCACCTCTGAGGTTTGCTTCTGCCACTCCAGCCTCCGGATGGGGGCAGAATCCAGTGCAGAAAGAATGGCCAGATAGGAATTAAAATTATTCAGCTTTCGTAAGTGCTGTGAAGAGGGAGAATATTGCAGTTACTCAAGAGCTCTGAAAAGCCTTCTAGCATCAAACAGCTCTACCAAGCAAAGGGCCCTGCTCCCCTGCTCCTTTAAGCAGCAGAGTGTGGCATTCACAGGAAAAAAACAATCTGGTACCTTCATAATCTTTATAAATTTAAGGAGCAGCCTCTCTCGGTCCTGGGCTTTCTCTTGTAGCATAATTATTGAACGGACCCTGGAAGAACAGACAGAATAAAAGATAAACCTACTTAAGCAGAGATTAGATTTCCTCTTGTTTCATTAACAAAACTGATCACTAATAGGGATGGACCAATACTAAAAAGCTCACAATAGCTCCAACGTAAATGGAGCACTCTAACCCATAGCAAAGACAGGATAATTTCACAGAGTGCATTTATTTGCAAGGGGATTGTTTGTTTGAAGAGCTCAGTGATAGTAATAATTAATTCCTCTGGATTACAAGGCCCTCCCTAACCCTCCTGATTTCATTTCTGCTGTGCTCTGGGGTCTTAGATGAGTGCTCTGCATCTACTTCCTGGCCAAAAAAATATACATTATCCCATTTGTAACAAAGGAACCCAAGTCTATGAGGAATACTTGGAATATTTGCAAGGCACTGGAGGTCAGGCACAGTTCAGTGCCATGGCTGTTCTGAGCTCCTTACCAGTAGGACATGTTATTAAAGTGCTCTGTGAACTGTGTCAGGTTGGGACTCTTCTCTTCATTTTGTTCCTTTGCCCAAAGCAGAACTTCTGGGATCTGCCAAGGAAGGAGAGGAGAGGGGTGGGAAAATACCACACATTAAAATGGGATTTCTACCCCCGAGATTCCCAGTTGCAGCCTTTGCTCAGAGCCACTTGCTGGCACAAGATCAGCTGTGCCCTCCAGCAGGTGTCTGGGAGAGCTGGCAGGGAATACCAGACATTGCAGAAGGTCCAAACTCTCCCGCTGCCCTCAGCCCCCATCCTTCTCTCTGTACCTCGATTTTATAGAAGAGTTCAGCATCCAGCAGGGTCAGCTGCTCAGCTATTTCATGACTGTGGAAATCATGCAGTGTCCCTGGCCTGTGGAAAACAATGAGGAAGTACAAAGGCTCAGAAAATGTGACCTGTTTTCTTATCTCTCTGGTATTTTGAACTGAGGAACTCTTGTGTTCCCAGGGAAGGGATGCCCTGGCTCTCAGAGGACCCAGGTATGTTGTGTGCACCTTCCCTCACCTGGCTGCCACCCCTCTGGCCGCGAGAGGTTTGATGGAGTTGGCGTAGCTCAGCATTTTCTTCTGATCCACTTTATCCAGGATGTTCTTGCGCAGCACCCTGGCCAGGCTCAGCTCCCCACTGCACACCAGCCTGAACACCAGGTCCATCAGCAGCTTGAGGATTTCCTCTGTCAATTCCACCAGGCTGAGAGGAAGATGGAAAAGGCAGGGAAGGCATCAGAGCTAAGACACTGGGGTTTGTATCTGTACCAAGTCTCAGTGCTCTTTCTTACAAGCAGAATTGGGTGACTGAAATTCCTCTTCCCAGGTCTTCCTTTCCCAGAGATTCCCCTCTTACTTTTTATTTTAAAACCACTGACCAGTTAGGACACACAGGAGGAATCTGTTCTTCCAACATGAGAGCTCAGCACTACAGGTGTCTCGCTGGTCAGGCTTGGGGGATTTCAGCTGTCATTATAGATGGGCTTAAAAAAATACATCTTCCCTAAAAACCCACATTTTCCCAGCTTTCTGTGAGTTACTGACCCTGCATCCCAAAATGAAGAAGGCAACTCACCAGAGCTCATCCACCACTCGCACCAGCACGAAGAAGGTGTTCTTACTGACTCGCTTCTTGAACGTGTCTGGGAAGTGGCAAAACTTCTCATATGTTGGTTGCAAATTAAAGAATCAACTCAGTGTAACCAGACCAGCATCAGTGCAATTCCCAACTGCCTCGAGGGATCATAAAATCATTGAGTGATTTGGGGTGGAAGGGACCTTAATAATCATCCAATTCCACTCCCTACCATGGGCAGGGACACCTTCCACTGTCCCAAGTTGCTCAGAGTTCCATCCAGCCTTGCCTTGGACACTTCCAGGGATGGGGCAGCCACACTGGAACACCACATTGCTCTGTCCTGATGGGAACTGGTGCTCCATTTCCAGGAGATAAGGGACACTGACATGACTCTAAGATGGCATTAAACTGGCACCAGCTGCTGGTAGCAGGGGGTGTGAGGAGGTGCTTACACCTCAGAGAATTGAGAGCAGGTGTACCCTGAAATTGCTCTTTCTCAGGTGGAATTTAATGAGCAGCACTTCCCTACAGTGATCTCCCCCACAGGTCTGTGACATCTGGTCTCAACAGATCTCAAGTGTCACCTCCACCTTCCTGGCTGCCCAATCTGCTGCAAGGAGGGGAGTGACAGGGGCGACAGCACAGGCTGAAAAACCTCCTGCCAGGTGGCTGAAGGGACAGAGAACACGGTTACCAATAAGGCAGGGGCCTGCAGGGATCCCCCAGCCAGGATTGTCACCTGGGCTGAGCTGTGCTGTGTCCTTGGCTGCCAATCCCAGCTCTGCTGCAGATGGCACTGACGAGCTGCAGCAGGACATGGTGACACACGGTGACGTCAGGTCCCTCTGACGTGGGTGCACAGCACCAGAGCCACGAGGGGCCCCGGGATCCAGACCTGCCCTGCTGGCAGGGAACAGAGCCATGGGCAGGGAATGGCAGCAGGGTGCTCAGGGAGAGCCCCTCTCCATCCTCTGCCAGGAATGCTCACCCTGCACACCAGGGCCCTGCCTCCTCACCAGTTACAAGCTCAGTTCAGGACTGGGAGGCCAAGAGCACAGCATCTTCAGGGCTCAGTTTATTGCACTAAGAGAGAGAAAGTCTTGATGGTTTAATTATCTCTAATATGAAATTACACCTGCCCATGCAGGGAATGCTCATGGGCCCTCTGGAAGGCAGAAGGTTCTCTGGTCCCCACTCTACAAACTAAATGTCCCAAATAAAAGACCAGTTTCCCCAGTGACACACAAAAAACCTGAATTGCTGCTCTGCCCTGCCAGGACCCTCAGGGAACAACTCTCAGGTCCAGTATCCACTATGACTGGACCTGCCCTGCAGCAATTCCCATTGGAGAGAGTGGAGGTGAAGGAATTCCTTCCTGGGACACCATCAGGGCCAGCACATCCCTGACCATGCTGCCAGCAGGCTTTTGACCAAAAAACTTGCCCCCAGCTCCCTCCACGATGACCATCCAGCTCTGATTCCTGGTGGCAGTGAACTGCCACTCATAAAAGGATATCTGTACTGCAGCTTCTTGATGAGCTCTTCTGGGGTAATAAATGTCCTGTATGTGGTCAGAAAGGCTTCACAGTACAGCACCAGATCTAGGCAAAAAAGCAAGAAAACCTCAGAAAACCCTGCTTTCAGAAAAAGCAGCTTCTTTGTAAGGTTGAATCCAGACGTACAGAGGAGGACATGGACACGTTTTGGCACGAGTGAACTTCCCAGCAATGCTGTGCTGTTGGTCCTTACCAGCAGATGGACCCTTTGGCACAAGAGCAGCGGTGACACTGCCCTGTCCCCACCGGCCTGGCCCTGGATCCCACTTGCAGCACTGGGGCTTGTGCCTCATAAAAGGATCAGTGAAAAACACCTGCTTGTGGGACAGGAGCTATCAATCATGTGTCAAGGAAAAACGTAGTTTAGACCTTGGGGATGCTTTAAAAAGATCTGATGGCAAGAGGTGATGCCTGCTCTGTCTTTGGTGCTCAGGCAGGTCACTCTGCCCTCCCAGTGAGGAACACACATGTTTCAACACATGCTGTGGTGCTGCAGATCCTCTGCCCTTGCTGAGTTCCAGGAAATCCATCCCAGGACAGCGTAAATAAATTATTTCCAGCCAAAAGAAAAGCAAATTGCACTGCAAAAACTGATGCTGCCCCATCAGAGATGTGGTGTACACAGTCAGCCTGTGCTAATTCATCTGCAGGACAAGGTGCTGTAGGGCCTGGAATTGCAAAAGCTTTGGGCATTATCATGGGCACAGAGGATGGAATTTGAAGAAGCACGAATTGCAAACAGGAATGCAGATGTCAGGTCAAGACTGCAGCACACTTGCAGTCCCAATGCCTGGTCACTGTGGACAGCAGAGCCAAAATGGGAGCAGTAGGCATTAATCCCAGCACTGAGCAGGGTGTGCAGAGGATGACACCCTGCCCCTGCCAGCAGCTCTGCACCAAGGGCACACAGGGAGGAAAAGCTGCTCTTGTGCCTGCCCAGGCTGGGCTGTACATGCAGAGCTGGTTCCAGCCAGTACAGGCATCACCCCATATCCACCCAGCAACACCCAGCCACTGCTGGGAGGTGGGAAGGAGCAGGGCACAGAGGGAGAGCTGTGCCTCTCTACCTGCTGTGTTTCTCTTGGCAGGAACCTCACCTTCCTCCTCTTACATCAGGGACTGCTGCTGCCTCTGGGTTACAGACAACAGAGGCTGGGTGGTCACATCAGGGCTGAGCCCCAGGCTTTGTCCAGCTCTAATCCTGCACTCACAGCAAGTCCGTGTGGCTGTGAGCACTTAACTGACCATGGATTTTATTCCTGATGACCACAGGTCCCTCTTTATTCCTTATGCCATTTAGCTTTTTCAGAAAACTCAAATGGACAAGAAGCATCATGCTACAGGGCGTGGAGTTACATTTATTCTGGGTTCCCATCTGCCCAAAAGGCAACGTGAGGTAATACAGCTGGTCTGCTCTGGCACTTGAAGCTGCCAAGAAATTCATCTTTAAAGGAAAGCCTCTTAACTCTACCCCTCAGTGCCGTTTGGCTGATTGATTTACAAGCCCTGAATTCTTCTCATTGTAAGCTTAATTCATTAACCCTCTCAGTCACCCCAGCAGTGGGTTAGCATAGCACAAATTCCTCTGCTCCATTCAGCCCCGTGGTTTGGCAGTGCCTGTGAGGCCGAGCTCCCTCCACCCAGCTCTCCACAGCTGCACCACTGGGCACATAAAATCCTGCTCCAGCTTCTCCACAGCTCTCACCCCACTGCTTGCAGAACCCTCAGAGCCCCTGTTCATGAACTGGAGATCCTCAGATCTCACAGCACTCACCCCTTTATCAAGCAGCTGTCTTTCAACAGGAACAATAGGGAAGTTCTCTGTTGTGATGCTTGCTCCAGAGAACAGAGCAGAGTTTCTCTATCCCACTTTCAGCACGTTTATAAGGGGTATTTCCACCATCTAATTTAGACTATTTTTTTTTAATACACATTTCCAGCCTTGGCACAATCAACTGCCTGCTCCTCTCTGGTGTGTTCCTGACTTTGGTCCTTTCTGCCTGGATCTGATGCCCAATGCAGACAGGGAAACACAGCTGTCAGGGGAAGGATTTTCCTGCTAGCTGAATGGTGCTGGTAAGTAATTGCAAACATCTTATGCTACAGTAAAACCTCTGTCATTTAAAAACGTACATGAAAGATATTCCCCCTTTGACTATCAACCTCTAAACTACCAGTGCTGAGTGATTCAGAGGGTTCGTGTTTTGCCTCCCAGGAGATAAGGAGATCAATCCTGGTTAAGGCCATCAGCACAAATGTGTTTGGCAGGTTCAAATCACTCTCTGGAAACACTGCAAAGGCTGTTTTTGCCACAGGTCTTGGAAAGGAGCTGCTTCATGTGTGTGGTGAGGGGATCTGGAAAGATGAAGGGGGGTTTTAACAAATCTAGAGCTAAGGGCTGCTAATGTCCCTTCTCCTCCCCCACATCCCTTCTTTTCTACTGTGGATTCCCTCTCTGAACTGGTCTGGGTGGCTGCCAGGACACAAATGGTACAGAGTGGGACAGGAAGAGGCACAATAAATTGAATAACTGAGTAATTGGGTATCAGCAGAGCAGCACCTGAACAGCCTCTCAGTGCCCACAGGTACTGCATTAGCTCCAAACCAACATCCCTGTTTTTCCTACTTTGATGCAACAACCATTGGAATAACTCCTACACCACCACTGCCCTGAAATTCAAAGGACAAGGAGCACCACTGGAAACAGGATCCATGCACAACAGGCTGGTCACACCTGCTGTCACAGAAGGCAGCTCAGCAGCTACAGGGACACAACACAGCACTGTCACTGGTGTGCCTCATCTTCCAGATCCAGGCAAGGGCTGGGAGGAGTTAATCCCATCCCTGCTGCTAAATGGAACCACCAGGGGCTTATCCAGCTTACCTCCATCTCCCACAGATCAACACAACCCCCCAGGCTCAGAGATCCCTGCAGACTCTCCCCCAGCCCAGCTGTCTGTGGCCATGGGGCAGAGGGCAGGCAGCCAGGCTGTGCCAGGCTGTGCCCCCAGCCCTGCCCTGCTGCCCCTTGTACCTTTCCTGTCGGTCTCTGTGGCGTGCACCAGCAGAATGTCTCCAGATCCACCACGGACATCTGGCCCATCATCCCCCTGCAATGGGAACACAGCCACGTTAGGCACAGCCCAAGCTCCCCTAGGCCTGGTTTAACAAGGCTGAGGTTGCAGCTCAGCAGCACTGGCAGTGCATGAAATGTTCCTGGCACTGCTCACAGCACAAGCTGGGACATGGACTTCAGTGCTGGGATAATCCTGGAATTTGAATAGAGCATTTGGTATCCCAGATGAGGAGCTGGGCTGATCCTTCCTCAGGGTCTCTGACTCCTTAAGGCCAGGTTGTGAAGCTCAGTGAAGGTTGAACCTTCTGCCCACAGGAGAATGAGCAGGAATGCCACAAACACTCCCAGGAGACCATTAACAGGGCAGCAGCACTGTGTGAACTGTCTCAAAGTGCAGGATCACGTAGCACAGTGGCTGTGGGGTGGGAGGTCATGCATTCAACTTGCATGCTCCTGGAACATCAAAACCTAGTGAGTTAATTCCCTAATCTGGAGCCATTTGGCCAGAGGTCACCTGAAACGATCCCATAACTGGCAGAAGAAAACAGCCCTGCTAATTGCTTGACCCCTGCCTTGCCACTCTCTAAAACACATCTTTCTTCTAGCTACTGCATTTCACAACTCAAAATATGCAAAACTGATCCACCACTCAGCCAGCAGTTTCCACACTGCAGGAAGCAGCTCACAGTGACAGTTCTACACTGCTTCAAACATGTAGATCATAAAGAAAAGAAAGAAAAAAGACACTAAGACACAGATCTGCTAGTCCCAAATGTTCAGAAATCAGAGATTTTTAAATGTTTTTTAAAGGAAACAATCCGTCAGAGGAGACTGGAGTTGTGTCTGGCTTCCCTTAGGAATGTCTTTATCATTTCAACATGCAAGCCAGTGAAACAATCACGGATTACAGCCGTGGAGCAGCTCTAAGATGTGAATTTTTCAGGTGACCCCCCTGGCAAGACTTATGAAATACTACTTAGAGGACAAGTAGAAGCTTCTCACTCTCTCCTGTACATCTCAGCTGACCAAAGAACACTCCTGAAGTGCCAGTAAATGATCCATTCTCTCCGTTTTTCAGCCAAGCCCCCTGACAGTCTGAAAGCTTCAAAAGCTGCATGTCAAAGACAGCGTGGCTCAAGAGCACAGTGAGCAAAGCTGGCTGGGAGTGCACCCAAGGCCGGGCACAAAACTATTTCTCAAACACAGGAACAGTTCCTTGGGCTGCTTTTCCACACCAGTAACATCATGTCCTGCTCATTCACCTGCTGGACCTGCCCTCAGAGAGAAAGGCCAGCACCAGCACCCACAGCTGGATTCACTGTGCTCAGGCTCCCAGGTCATTCATTTCACACTGACAGAGGCTGAAGAGGTGGGAAGGGACAGACTGGGAAAAGGGCACAGGATGTGCTGGTTTTCAGGGAGACATCTCACCTTCTGTTAAACCCTCACTCATTGCTGGTGCTCCCAGCCTGCACCAGCATCTCCTACTTGAACAGCAGCCTTCACACACACCCCACTTCTGCTGCAACCTAGTTTTTCCTATCAAACAAAAGGTGATGCCTTGTTTATGCACACAGAGAATCAGATTTCAACTCAGAGTAAACCAAAGAGTATGAAAACAAACCCTGAGAGCACCTACCTCTTGCTTCAGTGTTAATCTAGACATGATTTCACTGTGGTCAATAAGGGACAGCTCATCTACCTCTTCCTCCAGCTGTGAGGACTCCAAAGTATCTGGTGACTGTGGCTGCCTGTGGAAAAAAAAAAAAAGGAAATAACCTTCATCGAATGACAGTAAGTACACAGACACTCTGGAAGTAAATCTTTTGCAAACACGCCCGAATGTCTGGCTCTAACTCTGTTGCTTTGTGCATCTCTTGAAAAAGAGAAAGATAGACCTTTAGGACCTCAACAGTTGTCTGTCTGCAATTCTGGCAGACAGGATTTTACTAAAAGTACACACTTCCATGTCTCCTTAATCCACCAAATTTTTAGTGCACACAAATCTAAGCCCTTCCTCAAGTATATAGAGACTGAGCACACTCTACACATACATATCTTAGTCAGTTCATGACCCGTTGTGCTGAGACAAGGGGAGATGACAGGCTCTTGCTCTGCAGGAAAATAGAGCAGAAAATCATCACCATTTTTTTTGAAGTACATCCCCCTCTAAAATTCCTACCCCCAAAGGCCGGTACTCTTGTGGCAGGATATGTCTTCTCTGTGCCTGTATTTCTAAAAAAAAAAAAAAAAATAAAGTATTTATGTTCCCATAGCTTTCCCCAGGCACAGGCCAAAATCCTGTGCACCAGTCAGTATTTTGGGCAGATAGTGAGCTTTGCAGAGCACTCTTGTGTTGTCTCCTTCACTGTAGGGATTAAAACCCTCAAACCAACTGCAGGAAAATGGGGGAGGGAAGTTGACTGTCACACACAAATCAACGCTGTTCTCTGTTTTTGCTTTAGAAATGCAATTGCAGAGCAATCTCGAGCAGCAGGGAAGCACTCACTCCACTCCTCCTGAAGCCCATCTGTTACAGCTTGCACCTCTTCATTTACATAGGCAAATGACAGCTAAGAGCATTAGAAGGGATATAAATCCTCCTGCTCCAGGGCCTCAGCCAGCCTCTAACTAGCAGGGTTAGGAAGAAATTTCCCTCTGGAAGATTATTCCAAACAGCAATACAGACTCTTTTCACATGTTTCCCTGGAAGCAGGAGCCAGTGTCAGTGACAGCACTGCCACTGAGATGGACTGAGGACGGCTGACACAGGCTGCATTAACCCCCATGGGCTCCTCGAGTTCACCTTGCCAGGATTACCCTCATTCATCAGGATCCCACCACACACTGGCTGTGCAAAAAAGAGTGGGCTAAGAAGTTTAGACAACACGGAGGAGGTTAGGGCAGACCAGGCAGCCCCAAGGATGGCTTGGCAGAGGGGATGTGGGGGCTCTGCACCCTTCAAGCCTGGAGGGAGGACACCAGGGGGTCAAGGCTCACCTTTCAGCACCATCTTTGCCCTCCTTGCCCATGGCACTGCTGTTCAAAGAGGAGTCTTTGGAGTGGCCGTCTTTGACAGGGGGAGATTCCTGCCAAGAGAAAGGAGTTTTTCATCATTACACGGGGTCCTTGAGCCCAGCCAGCCTTGCATTTACAGTCTGCCTGTCTCTAAATGGCCCTTTACTGTAAATTCCTACAGAGCGGTTAAAGATTGATGCAAGTTAATTCCAAATGCCAGGAAAACACAGAAGTTAATCAGACAGGAAATGTGGGACCATCTCTGGAGACTAGTGTAATTAGTACTGTTTGCTTTTAACATTGTGAAATGATGCTGAAAGTTACAACACAACTCAGCTGTTGTCTTGGATTTTAACCCACTCATGACCTTTTATTTTTCCTCCAGCCCTTCCTGTTGAAATACACTTTGCCTCCTGCTTTAATCCAAACAGACACCATCAGCTCTAAGCTCTCCAGTTTCAGAGTCCCTCCTGACCACAGCCCCCCTGCCTCAGGGGGTGGATGCTCACTGCTTCCTACCTCCCTTCTCTCCCATCACAAGAGGTTTTGCAATGATGCAACGTTTCCACTCCACGACTCAGGGCTGTGGAAATGAGGCTAATGCAAAAAAGCAGAACCAGCTGAATCTGCAGCATGGAACAGCAGGTAGAGAGCTCAGAGCAAAGATACAGCATTTCAAATTAGCCATTTATTAAGGAGACAAATAGCCATGAATGGCAAATGGGAATATTAATCCAACAGTGTTGGAGCTCAGAATTATTTAACGTCATGCAGAGTGAAGCTTGGAAATGCAACCTAGTGAACAGATAGGACTGAAACCACCTCCATGCTATCCACTCAGCAAAGAAACACCCTGCTGAGCCTGGGTTTCTTGGTGTCTGCAGGATTTTTCCAGACTCTATCTGCAAAGCCCTTTGCTTCAAAGTTGAGAACCCTCTCACAGCTGCCCAAAAGGATGGGCCTGGACAGATGTGTCTCCTGAAGGGAAGTGATGGGAGCATTATCTCTTGGTGTATTTAACTCCACCATGGATAAAGGTCTTGGAAACATGCTGCAGGAGATATGCCTTCCAAGAGGAGGGCAGGCAAAAGGATCACCACGGACTTCTGCCAGTTTCCTATGACCCAAGAGGAAGATGGGACCTCCCTGGGATGGAAAATGCCCTGGCTCCTCTAGGAAACATCTAAGATACAAGGCTTGAGTAAAGGAAGAAACTGCGTGTGAGTACAATGCTAAATCAATCATTTACTTTGCAACCAAACAGCGAAGGGAAAAGTAAGTATTTAGTGCAGAAGGCATTCTGTATTAAAATAGGGAAGGCAAAGCAGTTACAAGAAAAGAAGTGGCCCCGGGATGGCACAGGGTGCAGCTCTCTGGAGGGAACTTCACACAAGCAGCTCCAAACAGCCAGCGAAGCGCAAAGGAAACAGCGCGGCAGGAGAAGCCATCCCTGACTCCTGCCAGGGCTCAGCGTGACCCCAAAAGCACCTCCTGCCTCTGCACCTGCAGCAGGAGGGCCCCCAAACCTGCAGCCAGGAGTGGGCGAGCAGAGGGGTGGCTGGGGCAGCAGGATGGGCAGGGAGCTCCAGGCTGTGCCAAGCGCTTGAGCCCCGGCGTGAGCTCGGCATGCACCAGGCAGCCCCTCCCGGGCTCTCCGGGCTCTTACTTACTCCTTCAGAGCGAGGGAGTTCCCCGTTGCTCTGGCCAGAGGAATACAGATTGACATATTCACCCTCACCAGCCTCCTCACTGGCGTTTTCACTCTGAGGGAGACAGGATGAAAGGAAATCCGTGATGGCGCTCCCCACCAGCGCTTCATGGCAGAGAGAACTGGGAGCAGAAGGGCCCTCGGCAGCTGCTGTCACCTCCCTCTGTCCCTGTGGCCAACAGCGGCCACTGAGGCTGCACAGTCCTGGGGGTCGTTATTTCTGCCTCTGGAGGACTATCCTGAAGGCCCTGGGCAGCAGCAGGCGCTGCTTTGCAAGAGCTATGGATTCCAGGTGAGACTGCCAAGGTGCAGCGGGTGGGTTTCAAGGTGCTGGAAGCAGAATGTTCAGAGCTGGACACAGCTCCTGTCCTGCCCAGGGCAGCCCTGCTGAGTGCAGACCAGCCCTGCAGCCCCACGGGCATCAAAGGTAACCCCCAAACGAGGCTACAAGCATGGACCAGACCCATCACACCAGAATAAACCAAACTCGAGGCTTTCTGGGATACAGCAAGGACCCAGTGCAAGGAAGATGCAAAGCAAGGTCACGTCCAAAGCGTGAAAAGCTGCACATTCACTCTGTAATCAGTGACCCTCTTCCAAACTTGGCAGAGAGGCAGCACTAGCATGCCCTGTGCTGACAGCTCTAATCCCATCAACTCTCGGCTTCGCAGCAGACGAAAGAGGAGCTGTCTTGAAAATGAGGTGTTCAAAAAAGTATCTGTAATGGACAGACCTGCTCAGTGATGTGCAAAGTGATGTGGGACCTCAGATTAGCAGAGAAGGAACAGTGTTAGCCTAACTTCACCAACCTGCCACCAAGCACAGAGCTGGGGCTGATGGCAACTGGGAAGAGCAGAACCTGGAGAGAACAATAGATTTTATGCACAGGAGAGACAGAGCTGGACTGCACCCACTGCTCCTGGTGACTTAGGAGGGAGCAAGTGGCACCTGCAGGATTTGAAATGCTGCTAGGAGCCTGCATTTAGTAACTACCAACCTCACTCCTCAAAAACACTCCTTTACCTCCCTCAGCTTTGTCTTACAATTGCAGGAAGCTACAGCCAACTCTCCCCTTCGCCAGCATTTGACATTTTGTGTTTCCTACATACATTTAACACTTTCTAAAACCTGCTGAGGTTGTCCATTTTTTTCTAGCCATTTTTCTATGAAATTTCCTCTACGCAATTCACACACATTTGGAAACCAGATTTGACCATAATTTAGCATGTATTAACACAAGAGACATATTCTTTAAAAGAAAAAAACCCCAACAAATAAAGGCAGCCTTGCGTTAAGGCGCGTTATCTCTTTGGATAGTCTCACCGAAGGCGTCTGGAGAGAATCAGTGAAAGAGGATTCAGAAGGAAGGCAGACAGGAGCATTCCCGTTAAAGCTGCTCTCCTGAGAAGAGGAGTTTGGCACATCCACAGTGCTGGGGGACTGGCTGGCTGCAGCGGGCACCGCTAGGTCGGGGCTCTGGGATGCGTGGACGGGCGGAAAAGGCGGGGTGGAGCAGGAGGAGGAGGTAGAAGAGAGGAAAGGAGGTATGGAGACTTGGTTGTGAGGCACAAAGTCCTGGGAGTAGGACCTAAACACAGATTTGTACTGCAGGATGCAGAGACACAACACAAAAACAAGGAAGATGGGGAAAAGGAAAGAGACAGACAAAAGAAAAAGTAATTAGATTGGCAGCAGCGTAGCAGTGACAGCACAAGGCATTTCTAACACAGGCAGAACTATTTTACCATCCACATGCTAGAGCAGGAATTGCTACCTGGGGTACATCAGCCAGGCTTTTCCTGGAGAGGCGTGTTCTTGCACCAACAACAGCCTGGCTGCTCATGTCACAGAGGGAAAGTGAGCAGCAAGGTGTGACCTGCAGGTATCCAGCCTCTGCTAGGCAGGGGAAAACCTGGGTATCTCAGAACTGCTAATGCTGTGACCCTGAAAATCACCTGAGTGGAGGAAAAGGATGTGAAGGCACACACAAAGCACAACTCTGAGCATGCTGGAAGGATCTACATAGAGAAAACTACTTCAAGTGCTTATTGCTTTTCTGGGATTTTCCACAGGATCCAAATTTAAGATGCCTTTTGCTCCAGCCCTGTAATTTAACAGCTACTGTGTCAAGTCTGTTCCAGAACACACAGCTCCCAGGGAGGAGTGGCTGGATACTGCCTTCAAAGTTACACTGAAGGATAAAGGAGATTATGCTGCTACTCCTTCCCATTCGTGAAAAACAGGGAGCAAAAATGGTAATTGCCCTCCGGAGTGATGAATTCCTTATCAAACCAATCCTTTAATGCAGTGCCTTGAAGAATCAGCTGAAGAGATGAAAAGAGATCATCTGCGTAAAGCTTTATTTCACTATCTCTCCTAATCATCAGATTACTCTTCAGATAATATTAAACAGGGTGCAGTGGGAATATATTGTGCCAAGAAAAACAAGAGCAACCCTCTGTCTTTTAACATCTGGTGCTAGTAAGATTTGCCATCGGGGTAAGTCCAAAACAAAGCTGACAACCATTAAAAAAAGACAATACTGCAAAATCTGTTGGAGAGGAGGTTCTCTTAAAACCTGCAAAGCTGGTCATAGTCAAGTGGATTGAAAGAAGAATCACATAATCCAAAAAACCCCAGGCTGGAACGCAGTTGTGGTGCTGCTCCATTGAGGGATCTGCTGCAGGAGAGTGCAGTACAGAGCTCTCAAGAAGCACTGACACAACTTGCTCAAACCCGGCTGAAAAGTGACACCACTGTGATATAAAAAGAGAGCAAATCAAAGGCAGGAATTGGAGAATTCAGGCTACATTTTCTCAGGAGAGTTGAGAGGGTAAGAAAAAAGCAAAGCTCAGTCCATCACCCAGCAGCAGCACCCAGCTCAGCAGTGGTATTTTTGTTTCTACCTAGGAAAGAAGTGGGCTTAAAAATCTAAACTGAAAACAGCCTCAGGCCAGAAGCTTGGTCAAAAAAGCTTTTCCACTACAAAGGAAAGGAAATGTAAAGGTCAATGACTAGACTTTACCTTCTACCACCTTAATCCTTGAGTGGCTGTGCCTTGTGCCTCGAATGGAGTCCAGCAGAGCTCTGGGTGTATTCTCAGGGCCCAAAACAAATTGCAGGCCACAATACAGAGGAGGGGAGGGGGATGCTTTGGAAAGAGAGCTTAAAAGACTACTGGAAAATAATTAAAATGCAAATCCCCCACCATGTGCCTGTGGCTAAAAGGAGACTGGCTCTAGGACAGGCTCCTCTCTCTTCCTGCCCATTTCTTTCCAGATGAGCAGCGCTGGCTCCAGGGACACTGTCAGCTTTTGGAGCTGCCTCAGTAACAATGACAAGTCTAATCTCTGTATTTACTTTCTGCCTGGATAAATGCTCTACATTTATTCATTTTCACTTGCATGGCACAAACCACTAAATCCCTCGTAAGACGCCAGGCTCATGACATCACCTTGGCTCAGCACATTCATTATGCCTGCCTGGTATTTCATGATCTCACTGGCACTAATACACCAAAACAATCACCCCAAGTCTCAGCCTAGACCCCAAACCACAGCTCAAGAAGGCACTCAAAAAACTGCTGTGCTGATAACAAGATCCTTTGCTCCTGTAGAGGAAATAATTAGCTCCAGCAGAAGCTCTGTGCCAGCTCCCCCACTGCTGGACTTCCTGCACCCACATGACACACGCTGTCCTTCACTTTGTAGTTGACGGACATCTTCCACCCAGGAGGTGCAAGGGGTTTTGTCCCTGACCTGCTGAACTCAGAGGAAAAGCCAGGCTTTTGCAAAGCAGCAGTGGAGCTCACGCAGGGCAGGAGTGAAAGGAAATGCCTGTCCTCAGCCAAGTCACTCTGGGACAAGCAGAGCCCTGCGTGAGACACTGGCAGGGTTAGCTCAGGGCAGACTCTGCTCCCTGCCTGCAGCCCGGACCAGCAGCTCAGGGACATGAGTTACTGCTTCTGGGGCAGGAACATTCGCACTGCTCCTGCCTCGAGGAGTTTCACACTCATTAATCCTAATTTGAAGGCAATTTAGACCTAAATATAACAGAACATTGCAGAAATTTCAGAAGTTTGAATGCAGACAGATCAGTATTGACAATCACTGTATGTTTCTCTCTCCCTGGTCTCATAAAACACCTTCAGAACAACCTCTTGGCATGAGATACATTGAAAATGCCAGTTTAAGGCCCAGGTACCCATAAAAACGCATTAATCTTCATTATGTGACCCGTGAACAATCATTTAAGGATGCAGACAGGCTCTCAGCATGCTGTTAACAAAGGGAACAGTGCAGAGAAAGCCTTTGGTGTGCTGGCATTAATTAGTCAGCCTGCTCTCAACTTCCAATCTTGTTGTAAAGTTGCATCTTGTAGAAAGGGAGCCAGGGAGCCCCCTCCTTCCTCCGGAGCCTGCAAGCAGCTCTGGAATTCCAGTTATGCAGCCGTGCTGGGACAGGAGCCAAGAGTGAGGCATACTTTTCAAAGGGAAAAAATCCCACCCTGCAGTGGAGATGATGTCCATATGGCACCCATTCCTGCTGCTCCCCACTCTGACCCAGCCCAGCCAGCAGCTGCCCCAGGAATTGCAGCAATGGCTTCCATGGGATCTGGGTGTTGTCCATCTCCTGGAAGCCCTGTCATCCTCTAAAACAAATACTTTTTTGGGGAAGGGACAGTCCATTCAACACGACTGTCACAAGGAAACAAGCCATCCTTTAGTGCTCCCCCCAGGAGACAACAGTTTATCTTGGAAACAAATCAGGGCTTGTTTTAATCAGCTTCTCAGAGGTCTCCTGCAGGGTCAGGAAGGCCTCGGTTATGGCTTCACGGACACAACCTCCTACTCCACGGCTTTGCTTTAAGAGAAGTGTTTCCAAATAATTTCTGGGAAAGCTACAAAACGGGGTGCAACAGGAATCTTTGGGAAAGGATGCTCTCCTGTATCCAAACTCTGGCCACACTGCCAGCTCCCAACACAGGACCAGAAGAGGGGATCCCAGCATGAGTGACCCTGACCCACGACAGCAAACGGGCAAGACAGGGAGAAGAGAGAGCTCCCTCTCCTCTCACCAGGGCAGTGGTTTTTAAAAAGACACCTCTGCCACTTGGGAAGTGCTTGCACAAAGCAAGCTTTGAGCTGAGAGCAGTCTTGTCTCCTGGGAACAGCAGGAAGCAAACGTGCCCAGCCCTGAACATTTACCATGCACTGTGACACACAGAGGTCTCCCAGAGACAGCATCTTTCAACCTTCTCAATTTGCTGCCTTTGATTTTTTTGCAACACTGAATAGTTCAGAACAGCTTTCCATCATTAGAAGCCGTGTTCCAGGATGTCCCAAAGGTCAGTGACATTCTGGCTGTTTATTTGGATTAGATGGCAGGAGATAAGCACTCTAATAGAAAACTTATTTCAGGAGTGATGCTTCTTCACACTCACTAGGCATGGCTGACCACAGCTAACAGGGAGACAGGGATATATATGCAGAGAGTCAGTGGTTCCAAGTTACAGCAGTCTCCTGCCCAAATCCAAAGCTGAATTCAATTATATGGCTGACAGAGCATCTGCAGCATCAGCAGACACGGTCTTTACCTTTTAAGCACAGCATTCTCAGTTACTCTATGGACTTCTGCCAAATTAATCTGCCATCCTGCCAGACACTCCCAGATCAGGTAGAGCACCAGACTCCCAAAGTATGAAGCTATCAGAGGAAAGGATCAATCTTTGAGATCTCCTCTGTTAATGCTATTAAGGGAACTACGTGGGCAACATGCCAGGACTGGATGCCCAAATTGTAACAGTACAGAATTATGTTCACAAAATACTGGGTGTTGCAAAGTCGTTAGACCCTAAGAATATAATTGCACAGACAACTATTGGAAAAGACTTCCTATCTCATGACACAATGCTGGGCTTCCAGGTACTTTTGCTAATGAGGAAGGAAATGCTCCTGCAATGAATGGCTGGAAACACAAGCTGCCAACAGAATGGCTTCAAGCACTGCCACAGGAAAGGCAGCAACTCCTCAGGCTGGAATGTTTCTCAGCAAGGCCTCTGACCTGGCTGCAGAGCTGACCTCCCTGGTTTTAACTGATTGTTAGCACAGTATAGGGATGGATGGGACTCGTGTCTCCTGGCTTCTGCACGAGAAAACAAAAAATCCAAACTTTTCCTTGTGGAGGAGAGATTCCTGCACATCTTCACAACAAAACAAGGGGGCAGCAGGGGAAGAAAACATTTGTAAGATTTATTAACCGTGCTGTCATAATTCCCTCTTTGGAAAATACCAGAATTCAATTCAGTTGCACCTACATCATCAAGACTTTAGCTTGTGGACAAAGCCCTCAGATCAAGATGGCAGATCTGGAAAACACAGTCTGGAGACCAAGACAAGACTTCTAAACAATCAGCCACACAAAAAACATGGGGTGTGTGGCCTATGAAGTCAACATGGGACTGGTTAGAAAGACCTACAGTGACCTGCAGTGTTCCAACTGCAAGGGAAATGTATAAACCCCCAGAGGAAGTGGTTTTCAGCAGCAGGGTCCAGTGATGCCAGCAGGCAACAGAACTATTAATACCAGTGTCCAGGCCTGCCATGGGCGGTGGAAATGAACACAAATACAGAAGGAATGCTAAACAGGAAAGGCAAAACAATACTTAAGTCAGAGCAGCTGGTTAAAGGGATGCAAATCTTTTCAATCCCCCTTCTCTCTGCTCCAAATTAAGGAACCGAAACCTTAGGACAGAAACGAACAAACACATTATGACTTCCCAGCTGTGGTTTGAATGAGGCTCCCACCATATGAATGAGAAGTCTCTGCTGAGGGCCAGAGCCTGGTGTGTGCTGCAGGCTGGAAGTGAGCTCCAGGAATGGGAACAAGGCAGGGAAAACATGGGAAGCACATGTCTGTGCTGTGCACGCCTTTAATCACTTATCTGACCCCCCCTTTTCCTGAACATACGTTAGCACACACACAAGAAAGAAAAACAGTCGCTGTGAATTCTCTGTGAACTTGCTCAATTTGCTCAAGAATGGTGAGAACAAGCGAGAACAGAAGCGCTGAGCTGGAGCTTTCATAAGGAAATCACTTGCGCCTTCTGCTGGAATCTGACAGCCAATTGGTTCCTGGAAAATTACTGGAAATGTTCTTTAATTAAAAAGAAAACATAAGAAAAAAAACCTAACATTTTGAGAAAGGCAACTTATTTCTCCACGGTGAAGGATGCAGCCAAATTTCCACTAATGGTATGTACATGCCTTGGAGATACAAGTGTTCCTTGTTTCAGCAAGGAAAAGCTTCCACAAGAGTTTCTAAATTGTGTGGATGGGCAGCAGTGGAGCTCATCACCAGATGATTTCCTCTACCAGTGCAGAGTTCCCCAGCTGCCAGGAAGCAAGGAGGATTCAAGATCTGATAATTCCTGCTGCTTGGATACCTGCCCACCCATTTCCAGGCAAACAGCACAAGGATTGATTAAACCAAGGGACAGCAGCTCTGTGCTCACAGGAAGGGAGGGAGGTGATCAGCTGGAGAGAAACTACTGCCAAGCAGAGCCAAGGACCATGCCTTCTTGTTGCAAACTTCCTTTCCCACTGCTTAGAACTTTCAAAAGAGGTGGGAATCCCTTGAATGATTCTTGACAGTACAATCCAGTTCTCCCTCCAGTGTGAAATTTAATGGCTCAGCTGTCCATGGGATGGGGAACATGATGCAGTTCCTTAAAACACCAGCCCACACTACCAACACAAGCCCTGCTGGCACAGAGGCCAGACACGAGTCAGACTTGGTTAAAAAACAGCTCAACTTGCCAAACCTATGAGGTCTGATCCAGTTGCTCAAGATCTGCCTCTATCCAGTAAAAGCTATTACCTCTGACACAATTTCCTGCAAAGGAGGGAAAAGCACAATTAGTGGGCTGACAGAGCAGCAGTGGCAGCTGGGCTGCCAACAGACCCTGCAGTGCTGATTGGAGGGAAAGGAGTCAGGGCTTTCGAAAAATTCATCCATTAAAGATGAAAAGATGCTCTGAACAACTTCACCTCTTTTCTGCTGTCTGCAAACAGTCTTGTTAAGCTGTGTAAATCAGGAGTAAAGCACTAATCCTTCACCTGGAGCACAGAGCTAAGGGGATGACAAGCAGAACGTGGTGCAGGCTCTGCTGCTGGCACGTGAACAGATGGGGACAGGGACAGGTCCTCCAGGGAAGGCCAGTCTCCAGGGAAGGGAAAAAAAGCACAGGGCTCTTTCTGAAAATTGGCTTCACTTGCAGGGCCTTGCTGACACTGGGTCAGTGGACAGCCACTGAGTTTAGCAGCTCGGACTTCCTGGTATTGATCCAAGGAGGTTTTTGCTTCCTGTGCAGAATGAATAACAATTTATGTAGGAGACACATAATTTTAGAAGATCTGATAGCCACTGCTGCTATCTGGGTGCACAAGAGGCCAACTGCTCAGCTGGCAGTGTCTGAAAGGTGTGCTCTCCCTGCTGGGCTGGTGGCAGCTAAAGCAGATTTTTGCCAGGCTTTTTGTTCACCAGTGCTCACTCGAGTGGCTTTTCTCTAGGGAGAGAGGAGAAATGAAGACAGGAGAATATGAGGAGCAGGGCAGCATCCCAAAGTGCTCCTGGTGCAGCTGGTGGCATCCCTTGAGTGAAACCCCACAGAGCAGATTGCAGGAGGGGCTCTGGTCCTCCCAGTGCTGATGGAAGGTGTCACCCTGGGAGGGATCCAAACCTCCACAGCTGTTCCACATCTCTGTCTTATAGGGATAAGGGAAATGGGAAAAAAACATGGTTATGGTATTACATGGGTCAGCTATGATGCATGTAAGGACATTGGTATTTTGCAGCTCAAAGAGACACTTTCACAGTGAAAATCTCATTTTTAGCTGTGAAAAAACAGACCTGATAGAGTAATGAGAAACTATGAAATTACCCTAATTTAAAGGCACTAATGGAAAAATCACCATTTTTAATTCAGCTGATTTCCTTTGTGCATTTGACAGTGCACTGTCTCATTGTTCTCATTGTTCCTCATGCTCCAGCCATTTATTTTACCCCTCACCAAATCCTTGCAAAAATGAGTAAGGATTTTTTAATGAAGTTTTAACAAATCTTAAAATAATATATTCACAGTAATATAGTCCAAAGTAAGAGCAGAACGTGTCAGGGCAATTTAATAGGTAGTAACCATTTAATCCAATAAGGACACTTTTTAAAATCAAAGTGCCCACGTATTTTTAGAACATTATAGAATCATATTTATAGCCTCTCAATTAAATCAAAAATAGTCAAGTACTTTTATCTAGTCCTACAGTTCCATGTTTTGCTTCCAAGGACCACTACCAAGTAAGAGAGCTGTACAACTCAGGACTTTTACTTCAAATTTTAGAACTGTTTACCACAAATTTATGCAAACACTAACCTTGCCACCCCTCAGCCTTTTCATCTGTGCAGCAAAGCTGTGATACTGCTCTCTCTCACACAAGTGCAAGCCAAAAGCTTTCATTCATGGCTTGTGAAGTAGCTCTACTTGTAAAGCACTTGAATACTTTCTTCTTCTTCGGACCAGTGATTATCACTAATTTTTAAAGAATGAGTAAGTGCTGAAATGGGAAGATAGCACTGGCACAGTGGGAGGATACTGTTTTCAAACATTTAACATTAGACTAATGGAACACTTCTGAATCTTCTCAAGTCTTGTCTGATAATTTCTTCTTCAGAAGAAGCCTAATTTACTAAACATCCAGGTCATTGTCAAAAAATAGTCTATTCTCAGTTGTCATCACATGGCAATCAGAGCATAACCACACAGTTTTACATGCAAACGAGCCCCACACTGATGAGCTGGTGGAATCCCGTGGTTGAGTTTAATTTCATTATATTAACACTTTGTTATTACTACCATTTAATTTAAGCAGCTGATCAGAGATTTAAGCAGTGCTCTATTTTGATTTAAATGATTTCCAGTTCCTCCTGCCACCCTCTCTTCAGGCTGCTCACAAGTGCTGTAGGAGAGAAAACCCTGCTTATCCATCAGCAAATCATACAAGAAAACTGAGCTTGTTTGGGACCATGGAGATGTGAAGGGAAGCAGACAGGCAAAAATGAGATGGAAGATTTAGTAGAGGCTGTTTTTTAGAAAAAAAATTAAGGAGCTGCAGCCCCTGTTCCACGTGTTTGACTAAATCCATGGATTTTAGGGACAGCAACTCGTTATTTCTCCCAAGGCCAGGCTCACAGAGCAGCCTTTAATTGACTCATCCACATCACTGGCATTATGCAACGGGACAAAAAGACTTTGCAGCTCCAGTGTGCAGCCTGGGGCACACAGAGGACACAGGAGTGTGCTGGGCACATGGGCCAGCTCTCCTTCATCAGTCCCCTGCCACAAATGTCAACGTGGACAGGTCATATAAAGAAAGCTACACCTCCTTTGGCTTCGTTTAGTGAGATTTATACTCGGTGAGGTTTATTCTTAGTGAGGTTTACACACTGTTTCTCCCACCCTAGTGACACCAGGAGTTCAAAAGCCCCCAGAGCAACCTCCACGTTGACCCGGGAGGGCAAGCAGAGGATTTGCACCCAAGGGATGAGCAGTAAGACAAAGCAGAGAACTCACCGAGTGCACAGGAAAGGAGCTGTGCCGGCTGAGAAAGGAGTTAGAGACTGACATAGTGAGGCCCTGAGTGGCACCGCAGTCCTCGGGGGTGAAGGGCACTTTAGGTTGCTGGACACAGTAGGAGACAGAAGAGAAAGAAGAGGCAGCATAGGAGGCCTGCTGAGGAAGGGGGAGAAAGCAGGAGACACAAGACACAGAGAAAGAGAGCACAGAAAAGGCGATGAATAAAGGCCAAGAAAATGCTAGCTGTAAAACAATGCATATAATGGCTGGCTAAACAAACAGCTATTCACACAGTTCATCAGAGCCAGACACACCAATATGCCTTTCCTGAGCTCGAGAGGCACGACAAAAATCACAATTCAAATCTTCTTTGTTTCACAAATCCCTTAAAAATGAACTCCTGCCTCCCCCTCCCTGCTCACCCGTGGCCAGCTGCTGCTGGCACACACAAGCTGTTCCTCACTGCCCTTTTCTCCCCGTGGCATGAGGGCAGATACCCAAAGGAGGAACTGGCTCTAAGTACACGATTCTTGCACACTGCTATTTTATTGTGACACCCTGCAGATTGGGAACTTGGCCTCTCCAGTGTGAGCTATGGATCCTCACTGGTCCTGCTGTGAGACTGGGTGACAGTGACACCCTGCCATTTCTCTGTCCAATCCAAGATTTTAATCATTTGCACAGGAGGCAGCTATTACACTCTAAGTGACAAAACCTGGCAAGGAATTTCTCCTGAATTCCCCAATGGTAAGGAGACTGAGAGAGGATAAGGAATATTCAGGCTTTCTCAGACTTGTTGAATAAAACATCTAACATAAACATGTCTTATTTTTGATTAAGATCTGAAGCTGACAAGAAAGGACTTTCTCATTATTATATTATATTATATTATAAAGAAGTCCATCCAGCAAAACTTGCTGCTGCTAGAGCAGCTGATGCCCATTTGATTTACCAAACCAAAAACTCCCAGGGCAGCAGGAGCAGAGGAACAAGAGTCTGGTGGCTTTTACAGAAATTGTTGAATAAGCCATCACCTGCTTGCACCTCTTTCCCAACAGAGGGATGAAGGGTGGGAGGCTGCACTTGAAGAAACCTTTGCTTCAGGGGAACTGCAAGCAACACCTTGATGGTATCAGCGTGTAAAATGACAAGAATGGCCAGCAGGCAAAGCAGTGACATCTTGTCTGTCCAGATCATGATTAAAGGGAAGCAAAGAAATGCTTTGCTTCAGCCAACAAATTGAGGACAGGAGCAGAATTTCCCTTCTGCACAATGGCTGCAGTAAATCTGTGCTTTGCAAACTCTGATCATGACTGTGAGTCACCTCTGGAAACATCACTAAGTGCAGCCACCTGCACTTCAGGCAAGGACTGCAAGGTGCAAGGGTCACACTGATGGGGACCCCAGACCCTGGAGAACTGCCTGGTCCTCCAGAGATGAGTCTTGTAGACTCCTGAGGACCCCTGCAAAGCGAGTGGGAGGCCAGCGTTTAAGGTCTTGTCCTCACAAAGAATTAATCCATGATACCCAGTTCAGCTTAGCCAAAAATGTCACTTTATCTTTTTATCTACTTGCATCACAGGAATGTAGTTATGCAGATCTCAAAATGAGAGTTAAAAAGCAACACTCTGGGACAATCAACTTTAGCACATACAACCATGAAGAAATATTGCAAGAGTCACCCTCACAGTTGTAACACCATGGCTCTGTTCCCACATTTCCTCCCATTTTGTTAATGCCATGGCCAATTTAAGTAAGCTGCATCAGAACAAGAGAA